ACTTGCTGATACTATGCTCTTCCAGGGAAACAAGTGAAGAAAGCCCTGGGGATGGAACCAGGTAATTATTTGTCATTTGGGGATTGCAACCCATCGCTGAATACCAGTAAGGAGTGACTTACATTCTCTTGTTGGATGAGGACATGATGTTCGGCAGTAGTGGCAGTGGAACCGATGAGTTGCCACTGAACCCCGAGTGTTGCCTTAAATACATCGCATAGTATCTGTCAAGCGAGTCAGCGAGTATTTGCTTTGCATCCTTAACTTTTTCTCGCCGATAGCAAACATTTAGTTCTTTTTCTGCACAAAAGTCACTGTGAGACTGAGAGTAACGAAACTTCTCGCTCTTGTTGAAAGCTCTTTGCTCGGAACCATGATTCTCTGGGGCAAGTTTGCGAAACTGTTCAACTCGTTCGAGCCATCTAATCGCGTAATTATCATACCTCCCGTCACTTTCAAGACTGAAGATCGGTGTCTGCCCTCCAAAAATAACTTCGAAAATCACCAGAGAACTAGTTGAGAGAGAACCAGTAAGGGTCAGGAATCAGGTATCGTGCCCTTACAGAGGCTCTGTAATCATTATTATCATACTATATCACTTCTAATCAAATATTATCGCTGATGGTTGATACCGTGGGAAATGAAAACATATCCATGGTCACTGCTAATATTACCGGGAATTCTTTTTTATGTGAGCCCAGCAGGTGTAGTGGGATGTTCACCACGCGCGCGGTCCGGGAATTAAGTCCCAGATCGGCTCCCGCTCGGGTCAATCAAACCTTCCATCCCTCATGTGTCGATGAATTGGACTAAATTTGTCTGCGTGGCGCATCCCAAGAGAAGGTTGATATGGCATTATCTTTCGCCCTTCGACTACTGTTTAGTTCGCGCTCCGAAAGTTTCACAGGAAGAATTGAAGGTCGAAGGGGGTCGTGAATAGGGTCAAGGTTCCGTAAAAGCCAGGGGTATTTGCCTGTTTCTTCATTTTTTGCACCCACGATAACAAAAATTTGCCCTCACAGCGACAGAAGGCCTGGGCTAGAATCTTCACCTGAGAATCAGAGTTATGGAAGGCGCTTCTAACGATTGCATTACGGTCACCATTTCACCATTGCTACTGAGTTATAAGGGGTGTGGCCTAGATAAGGTAAACCAACCAATAACAGAAGGCAAAAATCAACCAATAACGTTGGAGATGGGGCATTTCAAGGACTCTTGTGCGAAAGAGCGCTTGAAGTTATCCAAATAGACTACCGTCTTTCAGGTAGGTCCACTATTCCCGGAACATTTTACAAGCAGGAGTTCTCATCTCTTTGCGAAAAGAACGCACTTTTGCACAATCAGTCTTCTGAGTGCCTCTGTCCAAACTATTAGCGCCGAAAATTTTTCACAACTCCATCCAGGAACCGTTTATCAGATTTGTAAGCAGATATGCGGCAGAAAACAAGTTCAGTTTCCATAGTGTGCAGACGAGAACGGCTGTTTTGCCTCCTGCGTACTTTCTAGGTCGGACCGCGCCTCCTATTGTGCTCGCGAAGCGATTATTTTCGCCCTACTATCGCTAAGCCTCCACGGAGTTGATGTATGAACAGAAAAAGAAAACTGGCACAATTAGCACAACCCCCTGAGAATCAAATCTCTGAATAAGTTTCTCCGGGCCAATCTCCTTTACGCCACGGCTAGTTTAGCTGGCCTCTTAACTGGGTCCGGGTTGGAAAAGACTGGGTGGTCGTCGCAAGTCATTCCTAATCAATACTGTATTTTCCACTAAAGTTTGAATGGAAGTAGAATGCATGCGCATCCCTGAAGGGCTGATCCATGCGAGTTTTCTATTCCTTTTGAACTGCCTAAAAAAGGACAATATGCCCAAACTTTGGCTTTTTTCACGAGTTTTTGAAATTTGAACTGGGAGTGAACATCTTGCACTCTTTGGACTGCACGCCACTTACAAATGAACTCAGCTGAATCAGTAAAAATATGTGGTGATAACAGCCAAACTTCATTGTTTTCCGAAGTCATTTTTCTGCACAACTCTTCATAGTGGATGTACGTCAACACATTGTTTGCCTGTGCAATTACCAAGACAAACGACTGGATTAGCTCTTGAAACAAGCAAATAAAATTAGGGCGTTGTTTTGTTGATAATAGCGTGATTTTGGAAGGGATTGTAGTATATAGGTCGTTGAAGAAGTTCTGTTCGTGTGTGCGAGATATGTTCCCCTCAGTTAGCCTCAGTACTTTTTTTTAAGGTTCTGATAGATTGAAAGAATGAGGATAAAGATAAGTTTCTGCCGTGGACAACCCCCGTTGGGATGTGCCACCACATCTGTTCCATTCAGAAAAATTGTACGGCTTGTCAAATGCGATATGGCCTATACAATGCATAGCAGGGCAAGCCGATGTACAAGTCAGTGTTCTTATCCTCTGAACGTAGACCTGGCCGAATCTGATCGTACCAATTTACCGTCCCGCGGCCGGGATAGAAGGCGCTTCTTGGTTGGCCTGGGTGCAAACGACCGGGTTCGATCCGCGCGACCATGCGCGTTGGTAAGCATTACCACGTGCCACATTACCACCTCCACCTCACTAGAACATTGTGTAAACATTCTTCAAAAGTAGGCCTCATAAACTGTTATTGACAGATATGTTTATACTTCACAGTGTTCAGTGATAATATTTGATTAGCAGTGATTTCAGTAAAAATGCTGTCTAAATTGCCCCTAATATAAAAGCGTTTTATTGCTAATAACGTGGTTTGGGTAGAGACTAAACCTATGCGGATTAGACCTATGGGCAGAAGAAGGCTCAGGAATATCTAGCTATCAATCAACCTGACATCGTTACGGCCATAGCGGGGGGGGGCATGTTGCCACTTTTGCTACTCCCCACCGGCGTAGACAGCCTTTTCTTGAGTTGTCAGGTTTTATCATAGTGGCTCGACTTACTTGCTCCACTTCACAAAAGTTCAGAGGTTTTCACGGGAACAGCAGGGCAACGGCAGACATGTAAATCGGAACTAGTGAATTCGTGTTGAAAGTGCAAAGTGCCCCCCCCCCCCCCCCCCCGTCGCCGAACTGCGTCCGACCTGACCTTTATTAACTAAATACAAAAGAATATAGGGGTAAAAACATCAGTATTCATAAATACTTAGGTACTTTAGTGTATAAGTGGTAATATTCGATTGAAGGTAATATTTAGATGCGTGACACGCTTAGAAAGCTCTAGCCTTATCAGTGACTTTACTAGCTTGTTTGAACTAGTTTTTTGGCGATTTTGGAGTTGTTGGTAAAGGATTTCGCGAGGAAGCGTGTAACAGTTTTCCGAAAGAATCACATGACTTACTGACACCTTCGTGATTTGCAATTTCGCTCTCAATTGAATCGTGTTTGCGAGCGCTTTCCGATCGTTCGTGCGTGGTTTTAGATCTCCGTGACAGCGACTCATTTTACCCCTGCCAGTTAAACAGTGTGCGAGAGCTGCGGCACTTGGAGCAAATATACTATTTTTTCCAAACCATTGCTCACGTTGGTCAAAAGTCACCGAGTTACCGCCCATACTCTGGAATGCCACACCCGTCACGTAAGCCAAGTGGCTTACTTGTTTGTCAAGTGCCGAGCTACAAGTGCTGAGGCTTGTGAATTAAGTTCAGCGAGGGACCAAGGCAAGGGCAAATGGCGGGGGACAATTTTATGTAAAAGTCGCTGTAGGAGGGCCAGAAAACTAGCCTGTGAGATCCTGTAATTGTAGTAACCTACTCGAAAAACTTCGCGGCTTGACGGGACTCTACAGGTCTGACCAAGTTGTATTCAATTAATTGAAGTGAAATGAACTAGCAAAAGGATTTAACGAAAGCGCGACTGCCCCTCCTAAGACGAGCAGCACCTCTTTCCGTTGCTTGTCCCTTTTTCTATAAAAGTTATGGTAGCCAGACACTTTGAGCATATTTCGAGTGCATAAAAAGGGATTGGAAATAAGATATGGAACAGAAAAGAAAATATCCATCAATCTATGGGCAGTGAAAGGGGATATGGAAGATCTAGCCCAGATTAAATTTTATACGAATTTTTCGTTTCAGATGACTATCACCGACATGGACATCGAGTACAATCCCGCATGTGATGCTGATGTGTTGATTGTTGGAGAAGGTATGCAACTATGGAGTCTCAAAAGTAACAAATAACTTCTGAAAAAAAAAACGGAACAGAAGCACTTCCGAGCTTGCAGAAGCTTTAATTACTCCCCTTCAGCTTCAGTTACTTGCTTCGAGCAGGGTCCAGGCTCCAAGAAGAGAGCGCGAAGCCAAGTGAATTAGGCTGCATAAAATATGTAGCAATGCCTGCAGTGGGCCGCAATATAACAACCTTACATTTACGTACCGCCTGATCGACTGCTGGACCCCCCCCCCTTCTCTCCCATTTCCTCTCTCGAAACTCTAGCGATCGGGATCGGGTCAATATGATCTGACTCCTTGCCGCGTTATTCTCCAGAAAGTGCTGGTCCTCCCAGTCGGGGCGACGGAAGGTATGAACGCAACTCAAACTCAACGGGATAATTATTAGGTTGGCTAATAAGTAATGGCCGTTTTTTCAATTGAAAAATTTGTTCCAAAAGTGAACTGTTTTGCAAGCAAGCTTAATATCGTTTAATAGCAAACTTCTCGTAGTATTAGAATATCAAAACAGCTTCGGTTGAGGGAAGAGTTTTGTGGATTTTTCAGTCGTTGAAGTTGAAAGTGAAGTCGGCGAAAATTAGCACCTTCGACAACTGCCTCTATTTACGTTTACTTGAAGTGCTAAATCGCTTAAGCTGCTCCATACATTTGGGAAAGGTTGAGCTAGAAGTCTCAGCAAGGGAATCTCAATAGGACGCTTTGGAACTAATTTCAAGAATTTCAAAGTTGGCAACCTTCACCTTGCCAATATTGGGCAGGCTCACGTCTGTTCCACCTGAAATTTCATGCTAATAGTTGAATTAATTGAATTTGAATTTGATATTCTAATACTACGAGAAGTTTGCTATTAAACGATATTAAGCTTGCTTGCAAAACGTTTTCACTTTTGGAACAAATTTTTCAATTGAAAAAACGGCCATTACTTATCGGCCAACCTACTAGCATGCCTTATTCAACTTCACTATTACAAAACTTAAGATTACCTTAACTGGAACCAATTATTGGGTGCGGTTCCCTCCGACTGAAAGCCTTACATGGAATATCACGCGTGCTCCACTAACACGAGGGGATTGCACAAGCGGTAATTGTTCGCTATAGTTGGAGTCGCAATGTAAAGCCCACCAGTTCTCTTCAAGGGGACAAATCGGTTTGGTAGGGGCATTTTGTTATTCCCATCATTCACTGTCTACCTTCCTGTGGGGACCAACAGGAACCAGCAAAACGAAATAGGCAGAGTGCAAAATGCCCCTCCTAAGCCGAAAGGCCGCCCTGTTTGTGCCTGTTAGTTACATTGCAGATTGTCTGTGGAGTTTCTCCGATTTGGTGGTTTTTTTAGGACCTGATAACGATGTTATCCATCGCTACTGCTCACGTGAGAAGCGCTATGGTAACGAAACCGAAGAGGAGATGTTGAAAGAGCGATTCAAGGTGGACGTGTTTAGTGAATGACGTTTGGATATGGACGAGTTATCTTGATTCTTGCAGATGGTGAAATCACGCTCACGCTATCTTACTTTGACGTGGACCACTGACAGCGAGAACGAATACAGAGGATGGCGCATTGACTACGAGTTTATACCGGACGGTGCAGGTAGCGCTGGAATTACTGGATTTCAACCTAATTACTTGCTCTGATTGTCGGTGGACAAGCACTGCCACGTGCGGTTGCGTCGCGTCACTGTAGATACACCCTTAACATGGAGTTGTTACTCAGCGTAGTAGAAAAACATTCTAGGAAGGCGTACTGCTCTGTTCATTTTGTACTGTTCACGAAAAGCCGACATAAGTTCCGCAGAGACGCCTCGCACCCGCTCGCGACAGCTTCTGTGAAACGCCCTCTGTTACAAACTAGCTAAAAACATGCTCCCGTCCCTCATCGATGGTATTGTCTTTACAGCCTTATGTTACAGAATGCGGCTTTACTACTCATGCAATGACAGGTGTTGTACATTCACCCAATTGGCCGAAGGATTACGGTAACGATGAAGAATGCCTGTGGGATATTCAGGTACCTGTGCTTCGATTTATATACAATCTCTCTACTCGTTTCTGACTACACGGGCCTGACTCCGCCCATGTGATTAGCGCACAGTGTGCCTTTCAAATTGGTCGTTGAAGGGATATGACCTGGACTATAACGTTGGACCAAATCGACAACTTCCAATGTACTTGTAGGAGAATTGCTTGCCTGGCATTTAGCAAGCTTTCGGTACCGTAGTGGTACCAGTTTGAAAGCCACACCCCACGCTTGTTTAATGGGCGGAGTCAGGAACATCACGGCGCTTCTCGCATCGGTGCGCTTCTGCTCTCCGATACGGGAAAGTGGATAAGCTGTTCAATAAGGAACAGAGCGAAGTAGACCACAGTCTCCTCCCATAGGTTCTCTAGATCCTTCAAGCAAATACTAACCCGTTGAAATACTAACTGTAGAACTGGCCAGGATAGTGACCCGGCTGTCCAACCGGTTAGGGCCCACTGCTGAAAATCTTCCGATGAGGAAAAGAGCGAAGTAGGCCTGACTCCGCCCACTCTTCTCCCATAGGTTCTCTAGGTCCTTGAGGCAAATACTCACCCGTTGGAATCCTAGCTGTAGAACTGACTAGGATCGTGACCCGGCTGTCTAACCGATCAGGTCCCATTGCTGAAAATTTCTACCTCTAAAAGTTTCCTCTCATTCAAGGCAGGTTCTGGCGTTTAGGAAGAATTCCTGCTATAATAGCCCCCCCACCCCTCGTTCTCTCCTCCGGAACGACTACCTTCCATATCGACCATTCACCCTACGAAACTCCATTTTTACCGTGGAACATCGAATTTGCCGTCTAATAGAGAAACGGGAGGAGGAGATATCAAGTGCGCATGGAAGGGGAAAAATCACTTGTCCGAAAATTTTCCCCAGCTAAACAGGACTTCCCTCTCTGGCGACCAAATACCATCCCCATTCGAACGTCCGTCGTGAGTACGAAATTTAGCCAGCCCTTCTTAGACTGGATCTTTAAATCTTCATGTTTACAATTGTTCAAGTTTGCTGTTTACAGTTAAGGCTGCTCACTGATCGCTGCTTACACTGTCACAGTACAGGCCACTGGAATCGAGGCACGCACGTTGGGATCCATTGCGAGGGGTCGTATTTGGGCCGTTGGAAGGAGGAGAGTCGTACTTGCCCTTGTGGGATATGTTTCGGTTGTTGACTTTCTCTTTCGCGTACACTCTAACCCTCCTCCCTCCTCCCGACTACTCGACGGCAGTTTTTTGAGAAAAAAAACTGCGCAAAAGTCGTGGGAAGTTAAGAAGTTAGGAAGCCAGGACAATCTAGGAAAATTTTAGAGGGGGGGGGTCGTATTTTTCAATTAGCTCTCAAAGGCAGGACGTGCCCCGAAGGGAGTGGTGTCGGAGCAAAGCTCTGCAACGAATGTGAGGATGATTATTAGAAAAAAAATATATGGAAAATATTGTGCAACCACAGGAAGATTAAAAATGGTGAATCAATAAGAAGATTGGTGAAAAATAGAGTAAGTGCAAATTTTTAGGTGCCACTAGGTTATCATATTCACCTCCAGTTCACTCACTTCGACGTTGCACCTTCAGAAGGCTGCCTGAAGGATTCACTTACGGTATCATCACTGATTCCTCTAATTCAGCTTCTGCCACTTTGTTTATTCACTTGTTTACTTGCTTATTTATTTATTTACTTATTTATTTATCTAATCTAATCTACTGATGTCGTGCGCCTTTAGATTTTCACATTACAGATCTCACAAGAGCACTCGTCGAGAGCTATAGCACCGATTGGCGACTATTTCTTCCTTTTTGAAGACGAAGAAGCTAACGAACCGCTTTGTGGTATTACTCTTCCGAAAGCGTTCAGATCGGAAAGTAATCGAATCAGGTAAAATTCTTGCAGCAATCCTGGCTCTTGATCTATGCACCTTCAGACCATTAAAGCACAGTCCACGCTGATCATATGTGCAGGACAGAGAGCCATTTGCCT